CCATGTCTTTTAACCCTATTAATGCAAACCTCACCTTAAACTCCCTTCTTCTGGCAAGCTTATCCCACTTTAGTAACCTGCTGTCACACCCCTACTGTGCCTCTTGCCATTCCCCCTCCCCAAATACTTCATATGTTCTAAGGACTTAATCCAGAAAGGTGCTCCCATTGGGAATTTAGGGTAACCCGCACATAGCAGGATTGGGCTCTAAACTTCCTGGTCTGCAGATGTATTTTGGGTGCAATCCAACTCCCATTAAAATCAACGGCAGTCTTTTCATTGACTCAAACAGGAGTTGGATCTGGCCCTTTATGCATCAATTGTATCATTCAGCTGAAATTATAAGCTTCTTGCATCAGGGCAGTGTCGTCTTCTGCATTTTGTACAATCCATGTTAGCACCTCAAAAAATAATAGATAGCAACAATAATACTGTTTTCCAGCACATTGCCAGTTTCACTGCTTATTATTGGGTTATGTGTCTGATTCTGAAAAGTCAAATATAGTAGAAAAAACTGAGTAGAAATATCAATGTGATGATAATTTTATCTTATTTACTGTAAATAACAGGGACAAGAAGGATTCACCGGAGATATTGGACAGAAGGTATCGTACTTCACATTAATGTTGTAGCTTTCTGATCAATAGACTTGAGTCTCCCCTCCATTACACCACTTTTGCACCAACAGAACTCTGCTGCAGTTAACAGTTATATTGGCATAAAATCAAGATAATAGAGTGGAGACTTTAAGGATGGAAATAAGTTTCAATGGTCGATTTTTGGTAGAATAAAAGAAACATTCTTGATGTTTCATGGGAAGAAAGTTCTGATTTATCTTTCAACATCTGAAATTCTTTGATACTAAAGGGTTAAAAAAATCTTGTCTGGTCACCTTATTGCTTGGAAATTTTAAACCGTTTTTAAATTTTATCAATTTTAATTAGTGTGTCATTTCTGAGATTGTTGGTGAAGTCAAATCTTACATTTAGAGATGTGCTTAAACCACAAGTTGAGGACTTCAGTAGCTCAGACATAGGTCAGGGGTTTGTTACAGGAGTGGGTGGGTGAGATTCTGTGGCCTGCGTTGTGCAGGAGGTCAGACTAGAAGATCATAATGGTCCCTTCTGACCTTAAAGTCTATGAGCCTCTGGGAACATGATCCTCTAAATATAGGAATAGCTATGTGTTGTGCCTGCTGGTTTAGGAGTCTGTGTCCCACTTCTTCCTGTCAGTAACATGGAGCAGGTAACAGATTGTGCTTTGTAACCGCTGACACTGTTATCCAAACAAAGTGCCAGAAAAAATCCCCAGATAATATCTTGCACAGCCTTAGCCGCACTTCTGCGTTTTGTCTTGTAGTGTTGTATATGAATGTGTGTGTGATATACATAGTCTATTGAAGCTATGTGTATGAAAAATACACTATTAACTAGACTTTTGTGCTGTGCGTTACATATGAAATATGACATCAATGTATTGCGTAAGTGATGGTGAAAATATGCTGATATCTACGTATAGACCAACTAAATTCATTGCCTCATCTCCTGAATTACACATAAATTAGAGGTTGAAAAATAATGTATAGTAGTACATGGCTGATTAAATTATCAAAATTACACATTTTGGGGAGAAATTACCCATTTTGAAATATTAAAGGTCTCCAGTTTTTTTAAAGGTCAGCCCTAAAAGCAAGTCTGACATGCTCATCCTTAACTATTAGCAGTTCTTTGCAATTGTAAAACCAAACACCAAAAGTCATGTACTGCTGATGTAGCTTCTTTGAGGGAGAATATATAAAACCAGAAAGAATACATGGGGAACCTGTAGGCCTAACTAGTCACTTAAAGGTAAAAAGACAAGTTGTTTCTTCCATTCTTTTGTTTTCACTGGAGAATGTGTTTCTGTTGTTTTAATTGCTCTAGAGTTGACTCAGGGTGAGGAAAGCTGACTTTATGCCACCTTTCTACTCTTCTGATCAATTGTGTCCGAGGGTAACTAGGAGCAGGCTAAGGGCTACTCTAAGGTCTCAGTCCTTCTTTCTCCCATTGACTTCAGTGGTGCCAGATTGTTTT